GTCACTGCTCATAGTGTGGAAATTTTCTCGTCGTAGATGGATGGATGGGGAAACTTCATTTAGAATACTGAGCAACGCGACTGGCTCGCAGTGGGCTTCACCCACGTACATGGTAGTCATGAAAAAAATCTTATCTTTTTCGAAAGCGAAAGTTTTGAATGTACACGGTGACTGGCACTTAAAGAAATGTTTACACGGCATGGATTGAAACTTACTTCTATCGTGGCATGTGCAATGCAGCTTTAAACGAGCTACAGCATTGGCGGCAGCATGGTTTTGAGCTGCTGTGCGTGACGTCACGGATAAGATTCTCACTCATTGCGCAAAAATCTGATCGGAGATGAATGAAAAAAAAAAAAAACACTTCTTCCTGTGCGTTAGGCTGAGGTTAACATATTTTCGTGAAAATTAGAGTGAAATTCTGCCGCTGCGTTTCTCAATAATTAAACCAGTGAAAACTCGTGATGTAAAACCCAACAACATAATAATATATACTATTATTTGGCACAGTTACCTTGCTGCATTTGGTGCCTATAACATGTTTTCGTACCTATATTGCTTCTTTAGGCCTGATACACAAACATTTAATGCGCATTGTCACTTATAAGGGTCGAGCCATACAGGTTCAAAGTAGATAAAGAACGAAAATCTCCGCTGTTTCTATTAACACGTATAAGCTATCCGATAATACGAGTTATAGTCATGGTGAAGCGTATATGCAGATTCGGCAATGCTTCAACATGCTCAAGCGTAGTCGCATATTTCACCTGGAGATCATGCACTTTTATTTTTTTGCACGCCACGCATGCGATGATGTATCCACTCGCTCTTGGTGTGTGTGTGTGTGGTCATGATGGCCGACGGGAGGACTAACACGCTTTTTCCCGCCGCTCAACAAAACGCCGAAAGTGTGACCGCTTGGCTTGAGCGTAATCCGTGCGTTAGGGGCCGCGTTGCGGAGCGCATGCTCATAGCTGTTGACCACCTGGCAGCCAACTTGCCGCTTCGGGCATCCCGGTATTCAGCTGTGGAGATGGTGAATATTTCGTGGGCGGCGGTGACGGCTACATGCGCGTGAAACTGTTTTCGTGAGGCTGACTTCATCGACGTCCAACCTGATGCCGAGCCTGAAGCTTCCGAACTGCGGCGGCAATTTGTGGCAGCGCGTCGTCGACTCCGACCTGGAAGAGCGGGTGGGACATCTGTTGTGATGGTTTAATTACGGCCGATGATGATGCCGACACTGTGGAACCGTGCACGGAATGGGGCATTCTGAATTAAGTACGTGGCGAGGGCGATTTGGAGGAATCAGATTGCGAGAATGATGGAACTTTGGAGCCAGTGCCTCATGCAGCTTATGCCACGGGCCTCGGCGAACGAGCACCCTGCCGTTTTAAATGAACTCGAGACCGCCCTTATCTGCTCTTCGAAACATGGTGCATCACGGATTTTTGGAGTCAAAAAAAGTTTGTGTTTTCACTGTCAACTTTTTTAAAAGCTGCATTTCATTTACTACAAACTTATGGATACAGCGAACGGATGCCGCGTCACGCTCAGGTTTGTTATAAGCGGCTTGACTGTATATATACAGTGCGTTACGATAACAACAGTGAAAGATCTTGCAGTTGCGCATTTAGTTTATAATTGCTGCTCTAATTGCCAGCAAGCAGACGACGCGGAGCTCTAGAGGTGTGCCCAGGCAAATCGCACAGAACTGTACATGACGATTACTACAGAACGTCGCCGCGTTGCTCCTTGTGAGCAATCCTCTCGCCACTGAATCATTCTTTCTTGCATTGAAACCGCTTTCTATGCAGCACGTTTAAAATGCGTCTGTGCATTTGTGCTGCCATGGCATGCGTAAAGACAGTGCGTTCGAAACACGTTCGTCCTGCATTGAAATCGTTGGCAAGTAAAGTTCAAGTGAAGCAGCTTTTCTGAATAGGGTTCAGACACTGCAAACCCACCAGTGGGGAAGCCCGGTCGATGAGAGGTATGTTCACGCAACCTTCTTAGGTTAACATAAAAAAAATACACACACTAAGGGGCCCGTCTGCGATGTGCATGCTCGAGGAGCGTGGAGCAGACGGTTTTTCTGTCATTCACATCACTTCTGCTCAGCTGTAATTGCGTTGTTTTTCCTAGTTTCGATCTCAAAAACCCCGTCGATTGCAAGCTTTTTCCTAAGGTAAACACTTGTATATCAAAGGTGATATTTGGCAGGCAGCATTACCTCTAGCTAGACTACCTATAGACTTTTTGCAAAAGATCAAATTTCATTGCAGATGTCCTTTACGAGGCATCGCTGCGTGCCTGCTTTGGACCACACAAGCTTTAGGCTTAGCTTTACATTCGACTGGTGTTTTGGTCGGCAGCCGTTCCGCAGTGTGACTGACATACATTCTTTTCTCTTCTTTTTTTCCAGCAGATCCAATCTCTCTAGTTCTGCAGTTCGTTTTCATGGACCGCAAATCGGTGCAGGTGGCAATCGCAAGTCGATGATTATCGATATTGAAGAAAGTAGAACAGGTGAACGTGGGCAGTACTTAAAGCGCATGGTTGCATGCGTCGTGAGGCGTTATCACTTTCTATCATTCGCTTGTCACTTAGTGCCATACGCACGCACTTTGTGAGATAGTTGGTGCGGCAAGGTTTCTCGATTCCGCGCTGACTCTTGAAAGTGGCCACCTCACGAGGTGGCCGGGAACGGCGACGCATCGGGATTATGTTTTTTGTGTTAAAGGTTTGCACTACACTTGATGATAGCATGTTACTTTTCTTAAGCGAAGGCCCACTATTATGTAACTATGATTCTTGTGCGATTGGAATTTTTTTCGGGGCAGTAAAAACGCGACCAATGCATGGCGAAACCCACCGCCGGAAATCGACCATGCTTGCGTTGCAGTGTGGACGCAGAGAACGAGGGAACAGTTGGCATGACACGCGCTTGCACACCTCCTATGCAGAAAGTTGTCCGTGTCGTGACGCGAGCGTACGTTCGCATGGTAGAGATGATAGAGGTGGGGGAGGGAGGCAAACACTCGAGCAGTTCTGGCAAGTAGGGTGTTCTAGGGACCCTAGCTTGTGGGAAATGCTCAAAAGGAGAAGCTTCGCACTTACAGCCCTTTTGATTGCGTTCGCCTGCACAGGGAGGCACGCGCCCGTTCAAGGCATCCAAAGGTTCGAAGTCTCTTCGTGTGTGCACCGGTGAGCCGGCTCGGGCGGGTTGGGGTGCGTAAAATATGCGAGTAATTTTTTTTTTTTTGTAAATCGGACAAAACATAAGGGATGCGCAAATTATGCGAGTAAATACAGTAGATGTTTTGGTCATCTCATGTTTTGATGTCCTGTTAGCTTTGCGTCATTGATGGTTGCTTGAAAATGACCTGTTGTATGCGCTTCTTAGAGAATCATAGTCTGAAATGTCATATTCTAAGCTACAGTAGCACTAAATTCTGTGGCATACACTTGTTAATCTTACAGAAATGTCTGCCTTGGGGGTTAAATTATGATGTTAGATAACTCCTACGAAATACTAAATATTAGTTTATTTTCTTGGCTTTTGGGAGCAACTTTTACTACTTTATTCAGAAGGAGTTACGACAGGAGGGGGATTGTTCAACTTTGGCAAATTAAATGTGTCAAAGTTCAGAGACAGTGCTTGCAAACGGCTTACAAATTGTTTTCAATATGCCTCGGTTATCTTTTCCCCTGGTTGCACTTTAATCAACTGAGGGTAGAATTTCTTTGGAGCTGTGCAAGTTAATTTTGGTGTCACAAATGTACCACGACTCCAACTGATGCTTTCGCTAGTCTCCAGCTTCACAATTCCAATTCGGGGGGGGGGGGGGGGGGGGGGTACAGAAAACAAGCAAAGAGCCGACACTTGCGTGGAGATGTAGTGGTTTAAAAAAGACTAGGAAAATAAAGCACACCCTATATCCAATCTTTTGTGATTGAATAGCTGAAGCATGGAAAGAGAGAGAGCATTTTGAAAATTGATGCACTTCACTGTTTTGCTTCGTTAACTGCAGCGATGTTTGAAGCACCACGATCTTCAAGCCCTTAAAAGTAACTTACAATCGTGGGGCAATTTTCAAATTCACTACTTTTTTTTTTTTTTTTTCATGTCCAGATACATAAGGGATGCACCCATTCATCAGACGGCAGCCAGGTTGAGCCTTTTTTGATCCCGCTGTCATAGGAATGGGCATCACACGAAAGTGAAGATGTCTTTACAAGAGTAGTTCAATGTTCGGTCTATGTTGGTAAATGAGAGCTTGTGCACTGTCTGCTGCTGTTCGACGGTTGTAGCACTGTTTAATATGGACACTCAAGAGATAAAATCTTTGTGGTAATTAAACTAGTTAACATTAACCCAGACACCATGCACGGTGAATCCCGGTTAAAGATGGCATCAGCAAGAACACAACAAATACTAGTGCTCATGGGAAGTGTCATCATTTGAGGAGGGAAATGGCAATGTGTGCTCTCTCCAGTAATGGGGTAAATTTCTCTACCTTCACTGTCTCTTCTGTTGCACATAGAGACAAGATGTATGCTTCTGCACAACCGATAATTCACTTACGTATATCAATTTTCTGTTCATAATTGTCTTCAGCTTTCCATTTTTCTTTCTTGTGCGTTTCCTTTTTTTTTTTTTTTTTTGTGGTCATTGCACTCAAACCGAGTGTAGAGTATGAAAAGAATTCTGACATCTCTGTGCTTATGACTTTCCAGGCTTGAAATTGATTTGGCAATGTTGCCAACCAGTTTATACTTGTTTTTCATGCACAGTCTGAGGCAGAGTTTACCCAGGAAACTACTTTTCTTGCCCGTTTGACTGCAAGTGATTGCATTGGACGGCTAAGTCTTCAATAGGCTTTCAGACTCCTAAAGCATCAATTCACAGACAGTCTTTGTTTAAGAACTCTGAACTGAGCCTCGTTCAGATGCCATGGAAAAGAGTTTGTCTTACGAGGAGTCACTCTTCCTTACAGAGGTCGGAGGATGAGAACAATGCCGAAGAGATGGAACGAAAGTTGCGTGAAAAAGCCCTGCGGTCGCTGACTAAGGCTCGGCGGGGCAGCCTCTCCTGTGACGATTCGCAAGAAAGCTCCACAGCTGTGTTTGTAGCAAACTGACATACAGGCTGGACTGGTGTTCCTTTTTTTTTTAATCTCTCCTAAGAGAAGTTTGCTCACAGTCCACAGTGAATGTCATAATGTTAGATCCTTCCTGCTTTTTTTTTTTCTCTGTTTTACGTGTTGTGGAAGATCTGTTTTGCATGTAACTTTTCTTTCAAGTCCTCGTGTACATGTGCATTGGTAGCTTTGTATTGTTGATGTTCCCAATAACAAGATTGGTGACCCTTTGGATCCATACAATATGTACAGTGGGTCAAATATTTTCTGCAAAGTTCTTTATTGACCGACTGACTGACGCCACCCGTGCATTCACACCGATTATACTCCCTGCAATGTGCGTGTGGGTGTGTGTGTACAGTTTTACAGATTTCGTTATGGACCGTGCATGCAGGTTGCCCCGTGTCTGCAATTGTGTTCACCCTTTAGCATTAGTGTTCAGTTTCTGCTAGAGCAGGATTAGAAGCATTGCTTTTTGAGTAGTGTGTGGCAAGCAACTTTGTTGATTGCTTCCATACAGTTGACAGAAGCACACGACCTACTTTGTTGATTGCTTCCACACAGTTGACAGAAGCACACGACCTCAGGAGCTGGCGGCTGTATTTCTCGAGTATTTTGTTACCATTGCTGCACATTCTGCTTTTTCATGAAGAAGTGGGCTCTGGCTGAAGCATCTATGTTATGTTTTCTTTTTGAATAATTTGAATGTGTGGTGCATTTTGACTTCACTGTGGATTCTGAGCAGGCTGTTTCCATTAGGTGTGTCCACTGTTCATGTAAACTTTGTAAAATGATAATGAGCTGCAAATGCGAGTCTTGTATAAAGCATACAGTTGGATGGAGTGCTTGATGGAGCTGTGCACATGGTACACAATTTCAGAGCAGACCGTTCAGTCATAGAGCCATCACATTGTCCCTTTAGACCCTCATCTCCTTATTGTTTTTTTTCCTTGTTTATTGGAGATATGGGGGCTGTTAAATTCATTCACAAAATAAAATCAGTTTTTTCTGTAAGTTTTGGTGTGCTTTTATTAATATGCTCAGAGAAGTCGAGCGAAATTATTAGCTTCATAGTGCAGGACTTGCTCAGCAAAAATAAACAACACATACAAACACTGGTGTAGTTGATTTTCTCTAAGTGCCTCCAACGTACCTGCATAAAGCGCATAGAAAATGTCTGAAGCAACATATACGTCTTACGAGTGCTACTTATAGCCTCAATGCACTGCTATGTACTGAGGCGCTTACATATGTTTTCGAAACCTTGTTTTCAAGCAATATTTATGTAAGTAAAAGATGCATCTTGAACCCCTTTGACCTAATATATGAACTAATATAGCAGAAGTGGAGATGGGATTCAAAACCTCAACAAGTCGAGCTTTATACCTTGTCATGTCCCAACGTACTGTAAATTGATGAGAGTGTGAGATGCTCACTGGCTGTACAGTGCAAAGTTCCCTAAATATTGCAGACTTTTTCTTCTACTTTGTGCTAAAATTTGTCAATTTTCTTGAGAAGGGGAAGAATTCCCTGCTTGGAAAATCACTGTGGGCTCCTTGTCACAGCTTCAAAATATTCCTTGTAGGAGCATCGCCAGAATATTTTTTCGTGGTGTTTTAGCCACTTTTTACATGTTTGTTGTGTGTTAGCACTTTCTGCCCTGAGTATTTTTAACGGGCAGAAATATTCGTTTCTTGTTGACTTGGAGTTGCTACACCCTCAAGAGCACGAAAGATTTTTTTTCTGAGCATCCCATCAGTATACAAGAAAAATTGCTCCATGTGCTATATATAGGACACCAGGGCTTAGTGGTTATTCAGAGAAATATGGTAAATTTAAGTACATCAATTTATTTTTACCCTGTTAGAGCAAGTTATTAGCATACAGATACCACATATTAGTTACAGCACCTAACTGCAATAGCAAGTTTTTGCGCTCGTGATACACATTGTTTCGATTGGCTTGAATGGCCACCGTCTAATCAAACACTTTGGAGGATCAATAGTCATTAAAAATTAATTCCGCCCATGTTGTGTTGCATAACAGGGTATGTTTTGGGAATCCTTAATTGTCGTCTTTACTATTCTTATTTATTGGATGAAGAAGTGTTGCCTTCAACAAGTAGTGGGACGCTGATGTGCGATCCAGTGCTTACATATAGACCACCGGGAATACGTCTCGAAAATGCAGTGGCGCTATCGTCGGGCGTTTGGTTTCGCTTGGTAGGCAAAAGCCGCTGCACCTACCGCAGTTGCTGCTGTGTTTTCGCCGGTGCGTGTACTATTTGTGGCTGTGCAAAGAAGAAAACAAATGGTCTACCCACGAGCTTTCACGGTGATTTGCGCGGGAAGGCACAAAAAAAATGGGCCAGGTCTTCTTTTTTTTCAGTTTTCTGTTGACGAAAACTGTCGCAGATCAGCCGCAGCTGTGATACGCGAGAACTTGCCTTCGACGCCGCTTCATCGGTAATGTTCTAGAGCAGCTTGCCCAGAAAAAGCATAGCTCATGTGTTCATTTCAGAACCCCTCTACAGCGACTGCAACTTCCTCTGTTGTGGCCGCCGCTTGTAAACATGCGAGAGGCGTCCCGACGCGCTGTTCTCGAAGGCAGCTTGTGCACCTGCTGTACAGTGCCTGCTGCGCACGTCATCACGTTATCACAGAGGCTAGTGGCGCGCTTTTAGCCGGGACGACTGGGCGGGATACAACGCGCCGTGAAGTCACTCGGCGCCTACCGTGTTTACAAACGTGTAATAAGTCTTGGCGTGGCCAGTGAACGGTTCTGCAGCTAGAACAGTCGGTTTTTACTAGCAGCCACTGCCTGCGTCGGCTTTGGTTAGCGAGGGTGGGGGGAGTAAACAGTTGGCACGAGGCGCGAGCATGCGCAGTGGGGGTGTGGACAGCGCCGCCGCACGACATCGTGCAACTAAGAAATGTTCGACATTTAAAAAGTGCTTAAGGTCTCGAGGCGCGCGTGACATACTTTCTTTGCCCATATCATCTTCCCCCCACCCTTCCTGCTTAGCTTCCAGCGCTTTCGTCGGGAGGAGAGAAGGGAGGATGCGACTGCAGCACGCGACAAATCTTTGTAACTCCGCTCCTACTGAAGGGATTCTTAGAAATTTTGCGGCGTTGAATTCGTGAGGCAATAATCTCTTTTAGTTAATCCCTTTCATGGCTACATAAAAAAGCGTTTCAAGGCCCCTTTTAAGTGGATCTGGTGGAATGTGGAGTTAAGAAGACATCTTTAAACACAGGTTTACTAACATTTTGGCAGCTGACCCTGCCCTTGTTGTTGTCTGTACATGCATTTGTGTACACAATACATTTGTTAATTATGTTTTTGTGCATCCTTTTTTATACTCTGTGCTATGGACTTAAGTTTCATCTTTCGCTAGCGATCTTAAAAGTTTTTTTTCACTCACCTATTCTTCACCTTCTTCTATAACATGTTTAGTGGTCACTCACTCGTAATTTGTGTGTGCCACGGTTTTCAAAAACTGCTACATGAGGGCACATGAGTCACGAGACTGACGGCTGCTAAAATATGTTTGCCGGAAGACTTACATATGTGATAAAAAAAGATTCCAGTAGTTCTTCGACATGCATACCCTTTATATATATTGTAGCCGTGATTCTGGCGAAGTTGCTGTTTTTAAACGGTGTGGGCTCATCACATGGCCTAATGTTAAATTAATGGGAGCGGGCGAGTTCCAGCACGCCGGTAATAATTTGCACACGTTGTCACCCGCTGTAGAACGAGTGCGTCCACTTCTTGGTCAAGGATGAGTAATCAGGCTTCTTTTGCCTTGTACTGACCAAATAGAAGCCTTCAAGTTTAAGTTCCCAGCATGTATACTTATTGCTGACTTCGAACGTCCCACTTATAGGTCTCACCATGAAGCTTGCTTCCGGGAGGGATCTCCGCTCGGCAAAACATTTTCAAAGGCACGCACTTATGCGCTCGTGCCCGTCCGTGTGCAGAAGCAGCAACAGCGGTATTAAGGCAGAGGAGCGCGCTCATTCCTAAGGCTTCTCGGCAAATCCAATCCTCTCGTCTCTCCCCCACTGCTTCTGCCTTCGGGATTAGCCCTCCGACGTAGCGAGTGCCCGATGACGACGGTGTGCGTCGGGAGGCCACAAACAGCGCAGCCGCGCCCTGGTAAGTAGATCTCATGGGCGGTACGGCGTCGACGACGCGGTCGGTGCTCGCCGGCTGGCTGCCGTCTCGCCGACGAACGCGGCGCCGAAACAAGGACCCCATCGTCCTCGCGTTTCGGACCCATACGTGTCACACCAGTATGGACTCCTTCCTCGCCGTCAAGTCCGACCACACCAACAACACGCTTCGCAAGCATCGCGCCACGGCCATCGAAACCTACCTCGCTTGTACGCTGGCGAGCCACGACGCCTTGACAATGGAGCGAAGCCTGGACCTGCTGCTCACGTGTCCCGCCTGCATGAGTGAGCTATGCACCCTGACGGCGGCCAAGAGCGAAGCTCTGTTCAGGCTGGTCTTGTTCAGCTTCTACACGCCGCCATCTGCGCCGCTGCACGTTCCCTACACGACCACGTTCGAGGCAGTGCTCAAACACGCCGTGAAGTCGTACTTGCCTTGCTTCTACGGCGGCCTCTGCGGCCTGGTCGACTTCCCGTGCGTAAACCTCGGCCTCTGCGGCTGTATTTTGCGACCGCTGTACACGGCCATCTACTACAGCAATCTGGAACTGCTCAAGCTGCTTCTGCGCTACGGTGCCGAAGTGCAGCCCCGGGATGCGTGCCGCTGTGGCGACCGATACCTCGTGCACCCGCTTATCAGGGTGTACGAGTCCATCAGCGCCACTCGCTGGCATCCTGCTCTACTGGCCAAGGGCAATGCTCACCCGGCAGACTTTGTACGGTGCCACCAACTTGCGGTGCTTGTGGTCCCAGCCGACTTGGCTGTCCTCAGCGAGGCTTGTCTCAGTTTCGCTCGCCTCGTTACCCCCGCCGATCAGTTCGACGCTTTGCTTCGAGTTAAAGGCAGCTTGCAGCATTTGTGTAGACTGCGACTGCGAGCTTGGCTGTCCAGACTCCGAGCGATGCCGGTAGGGGTGGAACGCCTACCCCTGCCGCGGTCGTTGCAGAGGTACGTCTTGTACGAGGACTTCGAAGAATGCTTATGACTGTGTAAACGCTGACTAAAGTTTTCTTTTTAAACCTAATGTTGAACCGTATTATTTGTAAGCACTGGATTTTCGTTCAACGTGTCGGGTGCCGAACGAAAATGTTGCATGTGATCCGCTAAGCATAATATGAGATGAGAAACCGAAAGAGATTCTTTTGCGAGGCTGTTACAAAGGCGCACTGCATAGTGGTGTTGCCTAGGTTTGTAATTAAGAAAAGCTTGCTCGCGGTTATTCACTCCTAAAATTGGCAGATTCCACGTACAGTGAGAATCGATGATATGTGAAGCACGAATGAGAAAGGTTGATATATGTCATTTTAAAATCAGCACAACGTTACGAGGTGAAGGTAAATGATGTCGTACATGACTTCCGAGTCATGATTATCGTGTTTGGATGTGTCGTTTACCTGTCGCCATGTATTCACGTCACGTGATACCAAATGAAGCTAGCAAAACAAGCGCGAGCACGCTATGAGCGTGGTATGTTGTCATGTTCTTACATTACACGCGTGTCAGAATTATTATGTTGGAACCAGTCATATACTTTCGTCATCCATTGACGTCACGTATCACCAAATTCGGTATATGTGGATCTAGCAAAACGACCGCATGGAATGCAGTGGCTCTGGGAGTTTCAATTGCGAAATAGCGCCTGTTCACAGTGCGCCTGCTTATAAAATGTCATCTGGGTACCACTGCGCTATCATCTGATGTGACAACCAGCGCAAGAGGAAGAGATTGCTGAGCACTGCCTGTGAAGTTCACAGCGCATCGCGGGAATCGTGCCGGTGCGGTGTTTTGCGATTGCACAGACTTCCGTCCGCAACGAAAAACGCCGAGCTCCACCGCCTTGTGATAAAATCGCAATCAGCAGGAAAAACTACGAGCCCTGTGAGGTGAACGAGTAAGTAAACTTATTGTGCTTACTCAAGCGTGGCTCCGGCTGTTTCACTTTACAGCAGCGATTTGCGTGCAGTATGCCTGTAGTATGAGGCACAAAACTATTGCCGTACTCTTTCGCGGGCCGCATATAATAGGATATACGTATTACGACCCACGCGTCGATGCACACACACCGCGCATGTTTAGTAAACCGTAACGGCCCTTCTATCGCGATGTGTGAACGGCACGGAAAGCATGACTTTCGACCCGGTCGAACTGCGACATGCCTTGACTGTCACTAGGCGAATCTACACGTGCTTTCGGCTGGCGTCACCGTAGCATTTTAAAATCTTGTTCTACCTGGCACTTTTGCACCGCGCGCGTGTTCCGAGTGCCCAGCAGGATTGGCAATCGATACACATGCGGTGCATGAGCGTAAGTTGGAACCAGATTCTAACGGTATACGTTGACGCCGGCTCAACAGCACGAATTCTGTCTTGTCACGGCCAAGGCACGCCGCAGTTCGACTGAGTCGAACTGCGGCGTTTCTTTCAATCGCAGTAGTATACGTACCTGATGAAGCTGCTTCCGTAGTCTGCAATGCACGTGCTCAGACATTCCGGACTGTCGAGGAAGGTCTCCTCGACGTTCCACACGACATCAGCATAAACTTCCAGCACAGGAACAGCGCGAAACATGCTTACAGCCGGACTCGAATTGTGAAGTTTCGCGTTTGGTTTGCAGAGCGTTTGCTCGCTTGGCAGTTGAAAGTGTTGCTTCGCCGCGCTTGCAACAGACGGCGTCACGTGCTTTTCAATATGGCAGCAAGCACTGAGCTCGCTGTGTTCTGGTGCATAGTCTGATGTCAGGCGCGACCGGCGCGGCCCGATGGTAACCGGTGCGAAATTTCGCGCTGATGCGTTACCCAGACAACACCGCGCCTCCCACTTTTCGTGACGGAGAGACGCCGGACGCGCTGAAACGCGCATGCGTGAAAGCAGTGCAGCGTGGCGCGCTCCTGCGAGTATATGGCAGGACCAGCGCTTGGCGTTGCAACGCTGGCGTGCCGCGTCGAAATGAACGCCGGCGAGCACGCGCACCGCGTCACATCAAAATGTATTGGCGCCTTGACTGTGGCATGTAGTCATGTTCTCACGTGACACATATCTCAGGATTATGTTTGCACCAGTCGCGTAGCTTCGTCATCCATTGATGTCACGTAATACCAAAGTCGGCATGTGTGAAGCTAGCGAAACGGCCGCGAGCGTATCATGAGTGTGGCATGTAGTCATGTTGTTACATTATACGCATGTCGGGATTATCATGTTTGTATGTGTCATTTACCTATGTCGTCCGTTCGCGTCGCGTAATACCGACTTTGGTACATGTGAAGCTAGCGAAACGGCCGCGAGCGCATCATGAGCGTAGCATGTAGTCATGTTATTGCTAGACATGCATCTCATGCTTATCATCTTTCCACCTGTATCATACCTTTGTCATCCATTCACGTACCGTAATACCAAATTTGGTATATGTGACGCTAGTGAAACAGCCGCGAGCGCATCATGAGCTTGGCATGTAATCATGTTGTTACATGACACGCATGTCACGATTTTCATGTTATGATTTGTCGCTTGTGTTCGCCATGCAATCATACCATACCAGTTTTGCAACATGCCATGTGAACGAAATTACCGCAAGAGCTGCAGGACCATGAAGTGTAAATCATGACATTCATGGCATCCATGTCATGGTTTTCATGTTATGACTAGCCAAATATGTTCTTCATACAGTCATGTTATGCCATTCCAAGTTTGGTGTCGATACCATTATCGAAACGGCCTAGAAAGCTAAAAGTCGCAGGTAGGTAGATAGATAGATAGATAGATAGATAGATAGATAGATAGATAGATAGATAGATAGATAGATAGATAGATAGATAGATAGATAGATAGATAGATAGATAGATAGATAGATAGATACGCTCAATGTCGCCGAAATTGCCTAAGAAGTGCTTCGTATTTGAAAAAAGCCGAATCGTGTTTAATTAGAGGAGCGCGCTGAGTGTCGCTCGCTGCAGCGGTGACGCCAGCTCGGTGGGTGCGCGCTTTCGCCAGCATAGTTGGCGCCGGCGTCAGCTACAGTGGGACGGGCTTCCCGTAAACTGCTTTTGCGTAAGCCAGTCGGATGCTCGCTATCTTCAAACTAGCCAAGAAGCTTCCGTGTTAGAACGGCATGGGAGAAGGTTATGTGTTGATGAAGAAACGCCTACAGTACGAGCACTTCTCTGCTACATGCAATTCTCACGACATTACGCCGTCACACTAGCACGGGGTATCTCAAGGGCATATCCAGATTTTTTTTTTGGGGGGGGGGGGTTAAAACAATTTATGTTATGCGTGTGTGTATATACGCAAACAAATTTGGTTTGCGTATATACACACACGCCCGGTTACGCCTCTGGAATATTGCCGAATTTTGTGTACTCTCGATGAGCGCCGAATCCTGCATTTCTCGCAGAGTGGTGGTGAAATATTCTCGTGCAAAGGGCTTGAAAAAGCGCCTTCAGTTGCCGAAATGCAAAATCGTCGTTGAAAATACATTTTCAAACTTTATTGACAAACTTGCGCGAGGTTTTCTGCGAGTACAGTAGGAAATGACAATGACGGTATACAGATATGCGTGCGGCGGATCCAGAAGGGGGGTGGTAAGGACGATCGCCCCCCTCCCCAAAGTCTGTGCCAACACACCCGGTCCCCCCCTCCCTTCACTTCAGTGCCTGTAGTCCACCTCCTATCACCAATTAGGACAAATGAGTGAAACCACTGTGAGCACACATTAACGGTATTAATGCTACGGAGGGTGTTTTTTTTTTTTTGCTAGTATAAACAAGAAAGTCACGACCACGCCCACCTCTACGGTGTTAGTTTAGGTGCCCCCTCATCCTAAAATGAGTGGCTGGATCCGCCCGTGGCGTATTTCGATACTGATCGCTCGTGGATGAAGATTGATATATGGCAGGCTAAGGTATAAGCCTGCAATAGAAGATGGGCTTCAGGACACTCGACTTGCGTGGGCGTGCATTGCGCATTCCGTTATCCAGACCAAGAATCGAGCCACGGCCTGAAAAGAGAGACACGCCCGATGTCACTTCTTTTTTTCTGTTTGTTTTGTTTCTGACTCAGTCGTAAGCGCATGATTTCAGGTCTGCGAAGATGTTATCTGTTCCGCCTTGTTCAACACTACATTATGTATTTTTTACCACGTAGAATGTTGAAAATATTGCCTGTAGCAGAGCTCGATCGCTCGAATGAGCGGCCATGAAAAAAATTTACACGCAGGACTGCCTAGCAGATTAGTTTACTGCATATTACGATTTATGGACTCTATATAGCCGAGGTGTTGGCAATGCATATTCACTTGCAACGAATTTGAAAGATGGTATTGGTTTCGGGATATCGCGGCGAAATTGCGCTCTCGTTGCATCTACTTAAAAACATTCCTTGTTGTGCGTTTAGTCTCGCCCATAAGAATATCTGGAAACTTAGTTCGCACAGCTTAGTGAAGCTTCGAGCTCTTCGCTACTTTTGCGTAACTTTGACAAGAAGGTGTTCAAATTATTGAAAGTGCACATCATGTTCTGTCGGACTTTGAACAAAAAAAAAGATGGATGTGTTTAGCTTGAGTATCCCTACTTTTGAATCTCGTGGTCATCTAACGCTATACAGCACGAACACACATACGCACTCGGTCTATTTACAGGCTTTTCTTAATACCTGCATAAATGTTACATTGTACATGTATTATAATGCGGGCCAGCACTTACCCACGACGCCTGTATGATAAACAAAACAGTGCAGGCGGCTGCAGGGCCACTGACATCGGCAACGTAAGCAGAAAACAATGACGCTGCTAGGCCCCTAAAATAGAGAGATGGAAATGCATAAATTTTGGAAGTGGTGTCCTCTACTTAAGTGACTTAAAGGGAACCTGCAACACTTTTCCAGCGTTGTAAAAAAAAAGTGCTGCCGATCGGTAGTCGAGGCACACTGGGAACATGATGACCTAACATTGTAGAGCAGTACGCGGCCGGCAATTGGCAATTCTCAGTTGGCAAGAAATTGCTCCCTCTTCCTCAACAAATGATGCCATGAACCTGACGTCCGTGGCCATTGCGTGACTGGAGCATCGCGAGCTGCACAGTTACTGCGGCTGCAGGCGGGATGGCTCCACGTGCCTGCTAGCGATCGCACTGAAAGTAAGCAGCTTGTTCGACGGGAAAAAAAAAACGTAAGTGCTCAAGATCATGACGCGCGATAACGAAGGGACCTGGCTTCTTGCTCCCCTTTTCATCCCTACACGTGTGCCCTCTTCCTATCAGCTGGTTTTTCTTAGCTATACCTCCTTTCCTATGAGTTTTTGAAGAAGCGATTTTCGAAGAAACTAGACGGAACGACGCGGGCCAACCGCTAAGCTTCAACTGAACATTCAGTATCATAAAAGACACATTGCGCCCCCGCATGTGCCAAGTCAGGTCTCAAAATCACCATCGACTATTTTTGCAGCCCCCTCGCACGTGGTCTTTGTTTGTCCCATGTATTAAAGTGAAGGAAAGACGACTTGCTATCTACATTGCCATTCTCTACGGAAAACGGTAGGCCAGTTGTGTCAGTGCGGCACTTAATGAGCAACACACATACACCTACAAAACTGGGAGTGGTTTGTATTGATTGATTGATATGTGGGGTTTAACGTCCCAAAACCACTATATGATTATGAGAGACGCCGTAGTGGAGGGCTCCGGAAATTTAGACCACCTGAGGTTCTTTAACGTGCACCCAAATCTGAGCACACGGGCCTACAACATTTCCGCCTCCATCGGAAATGCAGCCGCCGCAGCCGGGATGCGAACCCGCGCCCTGCGGGTCAGCAGCCGAGTACCTTAGCCACTAGACCACCGCGGCGGGGCGGGAGTGGTTTGTATGGCTACCTGCATTCAACTCTACAAACCACTCCCAGTTGAGTATAAGACATGTCACGAAAGCCATAGGTTCATTTTTTTTTTTTTTGCTAGAACGTTTACGAATGTGCGTACCCCAGTTGGCTGGCAGCGTATGAAACTGCGACAGCTGCCGTGATAGTCCATAAATCACTGGACTGGTTGCGCCACCTGTCAGAACACAAGAAGATAAACGCATGAACAATGTGGAAGTGCGAAGTAATTATTGTTATGCAATTGTTATGCAATTCGCGCGTCTTTTTGCATTAGCCGTAGTTGTCGGCGACATCCTCAGCCTGTCGCATATTTCAAATAGGGCCTATAGGGCCTTAACCCCAATGAAGTTTCGCGCCCACCCTGCCAGTATGCATACAGGGCGGCCCAGCTCTATGTAGCCCCTGAGATTGAAAATATACCGACGCACTTTATGACCACGCGAGCAAATGCAAGTTGTTGACTACGTGCGACTATTTCTGTGTTCTGATTACTTGCTTAATTAGGCAAGATTAACGAACTTCCATAGCAACAAAGCTGGGCGAAAAATTCTAGTTAAAAAGTTGTAGGTTGATTTGCAAAACGTACGACTCGACAGTCTCTAACTTGTGGTCTTCCAAGTATTAGCGTTTTTCTGCTTACAGCAGGTTCCCGCAAGACGATATCGCGTGCCATGCCCACTTGTGCGCGGTAATTGCAGCGTGTACCTAAACGTTCCGCGTACAACCGCGCGATGCGCAGCGGTTATCGTTTGTGCTGCCGCAGGCAACAGGTTCGTCATCGCACAGCCACCGCCGTCTTCGCTAAGCGGCAACACAAGTAGACGAATGCTATGGGCGTTTACTGGGGAACATTAAGGAGTAAACGTTTTTGGGGCAGCGTTGTTTCACTCAATTATTTTTCTCATCCAAGCACTACGTATATTTGAGAAGCAATGTATTGTGACGTTGTGACATAAATTTAGTGAGTGATTCAACCAGAGTCTGCAACTGCAGCGTCGACATAACACGTTATACCATTTATACCGATATTGCTCACGCAGGTAAATTACGCGACTTGATCGAATTTATTGTAATTTGTAAAAAAAAAACATCAATCTACCTGTGACGGTAAATTGGTTGTAGTTACGCCGCGCTAAAATAATAAATATTTTAATGAGTCACGGTACAGGTCTGTTACTTTACGAGAACATTAATGAATGGGGAAGCAGGCATTTCGCACACGACGTATTTTTACTAATTTTTTATTAGGAATCTGTAATGTGGCTCCTGCAGATGCGACGTTTACGGATGACAGCCTAAACAACATGTTTCGCATTCGATGAAGCACACGTTTCGTTTTATTCTCTTCAAGAAGGCCGAGGGGGAAAAAAAGTCGCACCTTAATTTTACACTGCAAGATCGGTGTAAAAATAACAAAAAAAGGCTGAATATTCCTGCTGCTTCGGCGGAAAGTCTTCGATTAAAATTTCCTGCCTATACGCACAAACAACGTATATAGCGCAGTTCGTCCGAATATTCTCACGAATTGCTGGGAAATTCGAAGTTATATTTCATCTAGTGGTCTCTGAACATTTGACACCGACTGCGCATGTCCTTGGCACTGTTTTCAAGAACATAAACCATACCGACTTCGCCTACAGGACTTGCATGGACATCCGTATAACATGAACAACTTACGTCGCGCTGTGGACAACTCTGGCCATCACGGGCAGAAATTGACCGGCAGCAGCGAAGCCAGCAAGTCCCACTCCAAGGCGTGTAAGCCAAAGTTTTCTGCGAGGAGGAATAACAAAATAAAATAATTTAGTAATAACAGGTGTTGATGAATTGGTGTAGTGCTGCAACAAACTCCACGGCATTAAGGCCCGTTGGCGATGTCCGAACATCGAAAACGCACAAAACCAAGGGCGCTAAGACCGCACGGGGTCTGAGAACTGGGCAAGCGGCCTAATTTCTCTGGAACACATGTCGGCAATATTGAAAGAGCAAATCGAGTCTGCTTTAAATCAAACGTAATTCCTGCAAAAGCGTAAGTCAGAGCTACTCACTGATATTTTCTTTCCATTGTTATAGTGCTGTTACTAATTACCTTCCTGCGTCAGTGTTTATTATGGCGACGATGATTATAAATAGAATGGTACTTACTTCGAGAGATATTGATGAATAATCAGACATCTAAATTTTCGAAATGCGGAGTGACGATAAATGCACGTATATTTAAACAGCAGCTGGCCTTTTTGACAAAATAGTAAAAAAAAAGAAAAATAAGAGATAACGGAAATTAGATTCTTAAACTTCTGTATTGTATATTATTTATCAATCCAAGATTTCTTATTAGTTATACGTTCAATTAGACAAATTTTCTTAAGCTACCCAATTCTTGTGCAGGCCGCCGTAGCGAGTGTGTCATTCATGAATGACGACAGCAACAAAAGCGACTATGATCTCCCACAGTGGGTGAGAGCCCCGGCGTTTAGGTGAATATGAAGAGATAGTCATATGTACTCGAACGACATTAACTCAAATAATTTCTTCTAACCATTTTAAAATTCATTATATATAAAGTTGATATGGGATCCCATCTATATCATTACTGGTTTCTTGACCAGTCCCCCAGAGTGGTTTGAGCCATACATATAGGTCATCATCATCATCGAACGGCATCGCAAACAACCTATAGAACACAGAGAACATACAACAACAAAAAAAGAAAGTAAAGCACGTATGCACGATTCACAACCTGGTGTTTTATTTTTTACGTAATATGTATTTAGGTTTATGCATTATTTAATTCAATGCGTCTGTATCTTCGCAGTTAATTATTAGGCCTCCTATGCCGAGGATGGTAAATATTGTCTTACGGGCGTTCTGATTAAAACTATGGCACCGTTTTCTACCTGGAGAATTGCACAATTAAGTGTTTGCCTTCGAAACTACCACACGTTGCCGCCTAATTTTTTTTCTTTCGTATATACTATACCTCAGCAGTGTGGAAGAGGCCCTGGTAAGCAGACACCGACGCCAAGCACTGAGAAGCAGACACGGAAGCTAGGTTTAAACGCTTAACCACTGTAATCGATAGCTTTATAACGATTATTCCAACAACCTCAAAAGCCAGCAGGTTTTGCGAATAACGTCTCAGCCAATAAGAGACACTCCGCACCAATTGGTGCCGGAGTCCGTCCACTAGATCGCCGACTTTGAACACACTGAGTCATGTTCGGGATCGGCCGTTTACCATGCGAGGCACGAGGAATGCCTAAGATAGGGTAAGTAAGCAAGATAACCTTTCCTTCATATAAATCGAACCGCAGGAGCTTCGCACACCGCCACTTTACGATTCCGTCCAGCGTCAAGCGCGCTTCCTGGACGCGCCCGGCTGCTTCGACGTGTACTCACGTGGGAATCGGGATGAACTGCACGGGTCCGACGAAGAGGAACGCCACGCAGGAAACCAATTGGGCAATGAAAATGACGAGGGCGTCAGCTTCCTGCAAACGGACGGGAACTATTTTTATCGATGCCGCTTTTGTGACTATAGATCGTATACTGGAAGCAACAAAACGCCAGGCCTGCGCGGAAGGCGCAGCACATGTCACAGCGAAAGCTAGAATAGCGGCCTTTCAGAGCCTTTTCAAAACACTCATTGGGTAACTGCTTCAAGCACAATTGCTTCATGCCCATTATATAGTGCATTAATAATAAACTTTTGGGTAGTAGGCCGGCATTTGTTTGTTTGTTTGTTTGTTTGTTTGTTTGTTTGCTTGCTTGTTTCCCTATCTAAATGGCACGTATCCGCTTTGGTGAATTGGCCTAGACTGCAACGTTGAGACTGTTGAATGTTGTTTTAAGTAAGCTTTGAAATTGAAAACCAAAAATAAAGAATTAAGTTAAATGGCATTCGCTATGCTATTTTTCGTCATTCTCCTGAGAAGCGTGGTATACGCTAAAACACTTGCAAGGAATATCGTGCCAATTGTTCATGCTGTAGCTGACAATGACGAGGAATTATGGCTGAAGTGGGTATACGCCACAGTTAATGGGGGAACAAGAAAAACCTTTTGTAATGGGTTGGAGCATTGGACGGCCCACTCGTTACGCTATTCGCGTTGTTGTTTCGCTGTTTTAGAACGCTTTATAAGCCGTATTATCGCGATTGCGTTCCCGACATGAAGCCCGGCTAAGGCACGTTTGCCAACAAGTCACAAGAACCAGCGTAGCTCAGTGCTAAATTAATGGGCTGAAACCCACCAGACCCAGGTTTCGAGCCCCACTGTGCCTTTGGTGCTGGGTTTTCTTATTCTATATTCACGCGATGTGGTCACGGACACCGGCGGCGGCGGACAACTGCGCGTGACCCGAGTTGTGATCTCATAAGAGCTTCACGCCGAGTGTGGCCTCTCGCGGCCTTTTGAATGACATTGGCGCCGCAACTGTTTTTTTTTTTTTGCATTTCCTGTATTTTGGCTCTGCCAAGAATTGTCGGCTCGCTGCGTGGTAAAGTATACATAGCGCCTCGACACACACACACGTCATGATGTTCACGTTGCAGGAATTCATAAAGGTATACCAGCGCAGCACTGGTATAGGTTTCAAGTGCGTAATGTGCAGGACATTCGCGGAAATCCGCCTGCCACGGTACGACAGATTTTCCGCCGATAAAGCTCGAAGAGTGACCTCTGTATGATTACATCCAACGCTCTTTGATTTGCGTTGCTCGGGCTCGTGTATACTTACGAATCTTGCAGTGACGACGCCGAAAATAATTGCTCCGATGGCGTAAGCTCCAAAGACGACAGCGAACGAGTGATCAGCGTGAGGGTCGCTCACGTTCACCTGCGAGCAACGGAAACATCGCTGAATGTAACCGAATCGTGCATCAATTTTCTCAAAATATGTTAGTACGGCATGTGCAGCTACAATAAGCGAAACAAAAAAAAAAAGAAGGGGAAGATGAAAGGCTGCGATGAGAAATTCGCAAACATGGGGTGGGTGCTGCAGAGTCGACGCTTCTATACAAGCGGACTTGTTTTTTTTTTTTTTTTTTTCAAGGCTGCAACTGATTTCCTTTCCGCTGGTGCTTTGTAGCATCTTCTCGAATCCAAACAAAGGAGAGCGCAACGGTGAAATTTTGAGAGGGGGGCTTTGAGAGGCCGCCGGTCTGACAAAATAATAATAATAATAATGAAAAAAAGGAAGTGGTGCTGTACACGTGTCGCTGAATTATAGTTATAGTGAGTTATATAGTTCCTGGACTTAAGACTTATCAGTTTTTTTTGGGTGGAAACGAGTCATGCTGAAGGAGGATTAAAAATTGTAAACCGTCGTGATTAGCACAACTAGACAGGACAACAGAGACGAGCACAGGCGCACTGCTCGTCCTTTCTGTTGCCCTGTCTGGATGCGTCAATCACGATGTCTTAACACCAATTCGCCCAACAGTCAACTCTTTTAGGGTAAAAGTTACTCAAACAAATAAAAAGAAAGCTAAACGAGACTTGTTAGTTTATTCTTCAATCTTCCTTCTAATACTGACAATTCAATCAGAATACATTGCTTCTGTCACACCAGGATTGTAGCCAGGAAGTTATTTTGGGAAAAAGGGAGGAGTGTTGAGGATACATGTATGTGTGCGTCCCTATACATACACATAAAAAAATGAAATTCTTTTTGAGAGAGTTGAACACATTCACATTAACCCGCCACTTAAGTTGTATACGAAAAAGCGAATCAGCGAAACCCGAACTTATCTCGCTCTCATTCACCGCTCTTTCTTGCATCAGAGCAACAAACAACGCTGCTTCATGCGGAAGCTGTCATGGGGATACCGGTAAAGAGGCCCTCTACAAACACTAACGGAAGTGAGGTGAGCGATGAGCGTGGTGTCGAAGTGAGCCATGGTGATCCCTCCCAGGGCCAGCGTGACGAGGTCCACCAGAACTCGGGCATCGGCGAGGAAGGCGACGGCGCTGCAGGTGCTCAGCTTGAGCGTCTTCTCCAGGGGAACGCCTGGAAAGTGCGCACGTCATGACTCGAAATATCCCCCGTGAGGGTACTCCAAATCATTTTTCTTTTCCTCTTTGTATTCTATACATAAAAATATGCCGCGTAGGAATAATAATAATAATAATAGAATAATAATAAGAAGAAGAAGAAGAAGAAGAAGAAGAAGAAGAAGAGAAGAAAGAAGCAGAAGAAGAAGAAGAAGAAGAAGAAGAGAAGAGAAGAAGAAGAAGAAGAAGAAGAAGAAGAAGAAGAAGAAGAAAGGGGATGAGGAGGACGAGGAGAGGAGGACGAGGAGAAGAATGAGGAGGAGAAGAAGAAGGAGGAGATGAAGAAGAAGGAGGAGAAGAAGTAGAAGAAGAAGCCTGACTACGCTCACAATAGGGCAAAGACCTCTCTCGTGTTCCGCCACTCAACCTGGCCTGGTGCTTTCTGCCGCGATGTTATACCTGCAAACTACTTAATCCCAACATAATGTTCTGTCTCCCTCTCACGCATTCGCCTTCTCTTGTAATCCAATGAGTTTGTTAAAAAAAAGTGTTTCTCGGTTGTACTTTGTAGTTGCTGTACAGTTGTTTTTGATTTATACATTTCTCTTCCTTCATCGCAATGTTTATTTTATATTCAGTTGAAATGTTATTATTGCTTTAATGCTTTATACTTTGTAACATGCTTTCTTCTATTGTTTTGAAACAAACTTCACCACTGTCCGTCTGGGGGACCGGAGCTTTGTCAAGCCGAAGAACTATCGGCTTTTTCTCCAGTTCTCCCTTTTTCACCTTTGTATGAAATGGTGAAAATAAAAGATTTTTGATTGATTGATTGACCCTTAATGACCAGCGGTTATGCTGCCTGCGTGCTACGCTCCCATAATTGGCGCCATTTTGGTAAAACCTCTCTACGACTCTATATTGCTACTATAACTTTTATAACTTCGCTTGCTTGTAACGAACGTATGTCCACTGCTCTACAGACAATTTTACGGGTGTGTTTGAGTGCCGCTACATTGGGCAATTAACCTTTGTGCTTTGCACCTTTAACAAAATGGTGTTGCGGTAGACGCATACGCATGAAAATGGTTCGGTGGGTACAAACGATGTTACATAGCCTTATTAATAAATTCTCGTCGCAGTTAATAAACAAAAGGAAGAAAATATCGACTTTACAGCCCAAGATGGAGGCGCCCAGATGCCTTACAGATATTAGCCTAAATGCAGGGTGCTTTTTAGATGTGCTTTCGGATCGCTACTTGTTTAGCTGAAGACTGTAGTGCCACCCTCTGTGACTGAAACAGGCCGCTGCCTGAAGGTGTGATAAAACCTATGCACTGCTTCCCCTACACTCTAAGGGGGGGAAAAGAAAAAAAAAAGAGATTCTCTGTCTTTTTTTTTTTGAGTTCTGATTTGTCACGTATGTGACTCTTTTTAACGAGGTACGTCAACTCTCCCTCAGGGTCATTGTACTCTCTTAGGGGAGTCTTGTGACCCATGAGTAGAGTAGAACACTCTACCCACGAGAGAGCCAAGGCCTCCTCTCTCCCTTGCACTTCTACGAAGCCGTCCCTCATCCTTATTCACAGTATGAGTTAATGTGTTATCTGGGCTATCGGGTGCTGAATTAATGAAGTCCTTTCGCTTCGTGTATTGATGATGATTGATTGATTTGTGGGGTTTAACGTCCCAAAACCACCAGTTGATTATGAGAGACGCCGTAGTGGAGGGCTCCGAAAATTTTGACCGCCTGGGGTTCTTTAACGTGCACCCAAATCTGAGTACACGGGCCTACAACATTTCCGCCTTCATCGGAAATGCAGCCGCCGCAGCCGGGAATCGAACCCGCGACCTGCGGGTCAGCAGCCGAGTACCTTAGCCACTATACCACCGCGGTGGGGCCTTTCGCTTCGTGTGGTTATAAGTAATTAATTGAGAATCCTCCGATTAGAGTCTCACCCGAAGTCCGGCGCGGTTGTGGCAACGGTGCTCGGCTGCTGAGCCGAAGGTCGCGAGTTCCATCCCGGCCGTGGCAGTTGCATTTGGATGGAAGCGATATGCTATAGAGGCCCATTCACTGCGCGATGTTGTCAGTGCGCGCTAAACAACAGCAGACGGTCGGAATTCCTAAAGCCTAAGGCACTTCAAACCCTATACGTGCGCCATCGGCAAACCGTTGATTGATATGTGGGGTCCCAAAACCACCATATGATTACGAGAGACGCCGTGGTGGAGGGCTCCGGAAATTTCGACCACCTCATCGACAAACCGTTGAACGCCTGTATAAACGGGTCACGCGGTATTTATTCAGAGCCGCCCCGTTCCGCGTCAGCTATAGCAGTGCAGATAGCGTGCGCGAAAACGTGCTGCAGCGTACGTGATCAATGGTGCGCACAGTGCGATAAATTTTGCCTACGCTGCGTAGCACGCGCATGATCGAACACTATGCTATCTCGTTCATCTTCTTCCACGAAACCCGTGGTCTGCCGTCTGCATCGATCTGTGCGTTCAATCAGTCAATACATAGCGCGCAATGGTGGTCGTATAGTGAGCGCTCGGCGCACGCAGGCGATATTGCGAGGCTGTTTTTTTTTTTTTTTTCATGCATTCATCCGAGACGTTCACGGACACTCCACAGAACAGTGAGAGGTCCACGCTCCACGAATCAGTTCCGCCGATCGTGATGTTATCTCGTTTCCCGCCGTGGTCATGGCCTGGTGCCTATGACGTAGCTCTGCTAAGCTGCACTACGTGCATTTGATCCCCGGCCGTGGCGGGCCCGTTCTGATGCGGACGAAATGCGAGAACGCACTTTTGTGCGTAGGAGCATGTTCATGTCGAAGACTGGTCAAAATATTTCCGCAGCCCTCGATTATGGTGGAAAATTAAACAGCGAAAGAATTCGAGAGGAACAAAATTATGAACAAACGCAACCGCTAGATTTCCATTTCTTTCTTTCTTTCTTTCTTTCTTTCTTTCTTTCTTTCTTTCTTTCTTTCTTTCTTTCTTTCTTTCTTTCTTTCTTTCTTTTTCTTTCTTTCTTTCTTTCTTCAATACTGAAAGTCTTGTGCATGTTCTTGTACAGCCCATCCCCTGCCTGCGTCAGATATTGTGACTTCTATAGTTTTCTCCGTGATGCTGTCCGTATCAGGATATGGATACACGGCATGACATATACGATGAAGTTTATTTAGGTGCT